CACCTTTTCTAGTCGCTTGATCCTTGAGCCAAAGTACATATGGTACAAATATATATGTACATGTTGCACTGTACGTATCGCTGCACTTCCATTCGCATATATATATATATGTATTTGATCCCACCCTTTCGATTGCACCAGTTCGACTCAGATCGGCCACGCAGAAGGGTCATGCAGGGTTTTTGTGGATGCAGCATCCCAGGGAAGAAAAATTGCACCGTGCAAGAAGTGAAGCACGAAACGGAAGACTCTTCCTCACTGAAGAAGTGAAGCATTTCAGGGATCGCACATTTCAAAGAGCAGAATCACAGTCTCACATCAGCCACGGCCCTGAAATGTTGATAGATAATGTTGAAAAATGTTCTTAGATCTCAAAACCCAGCATATTATGCATATTCCAAACAGTTCCAAACATATTCCGGCATCTTCCCAGTCCCACCCCCATCGCTCTTCACCGGACCTCCTGGAGCAAGTTCAACGGCCTTCTCCACTGCTTAGCCTCCGAGTCACTGCAGAGATTTGATCATTACCTGGATGGAGTCCTACAGTCAATTTCCTCGACTCTGCGAAACCGACTCAAATGCACCAGAAAACCACACTAACAAATTGGATGATTATGATGATGATTATGATGATGATGATGATGATGATGATCTGGAGCAGGACGCCTACCAGGACCCTTGTGGAAATCCAAAAAGGCCATGCAGGTCCAACCTCTCAAACGTGTTGAAAAGCATTGCTTCTCTACCTCTATCCTCCACCAACCTGGTCTTCAACAACTTGCTACAGCTGCTACACAACCGCGGCCAACGGATTGGCCGACCGTCCTTGGCGCCAAGGCTCCCCGCGCCTTGGCGCTGCCATCAGCACCTGCGTCCCGGCGACGGGTGAAACTGTAAGGGTTTTGAGGGGAAAAAATGCAGAAATGAAAGCATGTTTGGTCGTTTTTGTTGAGATGCTTGGTCGTTTGAGGGTGGACAAACATGTGAAAATTGGTCGCTTTGTTGACATGAACTGTGTCTGTTGCTGCTGTCTACTTCTTTTTGTTGCTCCTCTGTGTTGTTCTTCTTCTTCCTCTTCTTCTTCTTCTTCTTCCTCTGCTACTTCATGCAAGTGCTGTAGGTCATGGAGCCTGAAGACAAGGTCCTTACATTGGTGAATAGTTGGAGCACTTCAGGCTATTCGGGATTGCGGATCGCTTGTGCCCTTGGAACCAGCTATTTTGACAGTGTTTCAGCAAGCCATGGATCTCACTCTGACCCGCTCCTGCTTGAAAGAGATAAAACATTATAAAACGGAAAAAGAAACTCGGCCCCTTAACTCCTTCCACATGGCACCAGGAGATGGTCGATCGAATGGGTCCATGTTCTTCAATCTTACTCTTATTTTCTAATTCTCACACCTGCAATTATGACGGCCAGGGTCGTGCAAGTTAATTTGGCTTGCTTTTGTTCCTTCAAGGCTTTCAAGCCACCCTCAGAACAGGGGCAGGAGGTGGTGACCTGGTGCTTCCTGCCACCAGTGTTCGGAACATCTACCATTTCCAGACGTTCCCTGCCGTCATGTGGCATATAAACTGAACACCTCCGATCAGTTGAGGTGGTGAAAAAAGGGGACCAGTTGTATGGCATCTATCTAGATATCGCTATCACTGAAACACTGAGTTGTCGAAACGTTCAGCCATGGTCAAGGTTCACAGCCGACTGAGCAGCGAAGCGCTCGCTTTTAGGGCACCCTGCAAGCATTGAGGGTCACCAGTGTGCAACGGACGCCCCAGCATTGGAAAGGAGGCAAAAGCGCTTCTGCCTGGGCTGGGAGTCCCAGCCCAGAGATTTTCAGGGAACCGGGAATCTCGCAGAAAGCAATCTTTATGCATCTGAAACGTTGGAAGTACCTTGTGATGAGATCTCTGGAGTGAAGAAACCTCCCCTGATTGGTGATGTTACCTCTACTATCCTCTACTCTACCTACTCTACTCTTCACCTCTATCGTCTATACACTGAACAGATTCTCGGGTTCGATTCTGCCGAGTCCACCGAAAAAGAAAAACACCGCCCCCGCCCCAGTGAGTCCTGCCTTCTCCCAGGCAAGAGCCGCAGTGGCCGTCAGCAACGCATTGCAGGCCACCTGCGTCAGCCACGGCCGTGCGGTTCGATGCGAAGACCAGGAGGAGGTGGTGTGACGAGGAGGTGGTGGAGGAGGTGGTGGAGGTGGTCGTTCGGTTGATGGAACAAAACTGAAAAGAAAACACCTTTAAAAAAATGACACTTATATATATATATATATCATATGCATATCCTACAATTGATTTGGTGGTTCAATGTCTTCCATCACCAGCACCGGACTGACATTACAAGGAAACAGGACTAAAATGGACTTGAAAAACCGACTCAAATACATCTTAGGTGCACTCATCAGGACCGAGTTTTCAGGTGCGCAGCCGTCCTGCCCAGCCCCCAACCCCTGCGGTCCTTCGGCCTCACCCTTTTTCCCGTCGGTCCGCAGGCCTGTCCGTCCCAAACGCCCACGTCCCGGCCGCGCGGCGCCACGTTCCGCGTGCGGTTGGCTGGGGGGCTTTCTCACAGCTGAACATGCACAGCATGTTAGGCTGTAAGGTGTGCATGTTTGAGGATGGTGGGACCGCCATTATGTCCATGCTTCTTGAAGTCGTCATTCTATGTCCAGCTCTTTCCCGAACCTTCCACGGGGGGAGGTCTTCCTGTTTGAATGCACACCCGCATCTGAGACATCGAGTGGAAACTCGTCTTCAGGCTCCCCGACTTGTCCTAACCGCGCCTAGCCGCAAAGCAAACCTCTCACGTCACTCGCTTCCAGGCCGTCACTTGACGCCCGAGAGGCCGGCGACCACGGTTGACGGTGAAAGCATCGTCAATCCACGTCCACCGCCAGCACCATTGGCTTTGGCTCTCCAAACTCCCAGAGCCTCCGGGTCTTGGCATTTTGAGGCATCAAAATGCCGCTGCCATCCGTGTGTGCCTGGACCAGCTGGGCGGGTAGCAGTGGGCCCAAAAGGCATCCAAAAAGTAGATATGTCCGACCTAACAGAACTGAAGGCAAAGCCAACATATCTGTCACCAGCACCTTGACTGGTGGCAAGATTCACTAAACCTTTCACCAGTTCGACTGTTGAGTGGGGAAAACCGATACCCCAAACATTTACAGGTTTTTCTCCAATTCGTGCTACCCTGCCTTCTTGCCAGTCTGGGTGCACCCTCGAGTCCTCGCACTCTTTGGCCCAGAAAGCGGTCCCGTCTTCCAGTCGGCCACCTGAGAAAGCGGTCCCGGCCTACATCGGTCCACCCGAGGAGTTGCTTCGTTGGTGCCAGATCTAATTAACCATATCCAATCTGTCTGGTCTCAAGGAATGGCGTCCCAGTTTCCAAGCAGTTTCCAAGTGCGCTGATTCTGGGAAACGAGGTGATACGAGGTGTCAAAGAAAACGCATCCGTCACTTCCTGGACAATCGATGACATCAAAGAAGGAAAAACGAGGGGACGCATGTGCAAGAGATCGGGTCAAAAAAAGCAACGGTGCCCTGCGGATGAATTCAGGTTGTGTCAAGCTGCTTGTCCAGCCACTGGTCCAGCTGAGGTAGTCCTCTCCAGGTCTTTCCTTTTCATTTGGCTTGACAACGAAGCTGGAGATGAGCTCGTGTGGCGATCGGAAGAACCTGCACAGGAGAGAGGTTGCCTCGGACTCAAAATCCACTCGCCCTGGGCCCTGGCCCACTGCTATAGGTCTTCGTCGGTACTACCTTTGGGCCATCGGGCCACCTTCTTACAGGATCCAGTCAATTTGTTGCTACTCACCCTGATACCCTAGCTAGGTTACTGCTGTGTTTCTGGGCCAATATGCTTGCTTGGTAGCACCAATCACGCGTCTGTTGGGTATGGCATATGATGGCGAGGCGATTCCAAGCTAGGCTATACATTACTATTTCTATCTATTTTTCCGCCAGTTCTCCAGGAACTGAACCCAGGGCCACCGCCTGACGATGTGGAAACTGTGGAGGAGGTGGTCGGAGCACCCTCAGCGCTCTTTTGAGCACTCTCAGCGCCATAGGGCTCGGCCTTCGCCCTAGCTGAGCTGAGAGATTTCATCCTTGGACTGGCACCCGAGAAGGCCGCCGGAGGAGATGCACAACTTGAACCTATCAAACACAATTGTCCTCTGGAGAGAATTCGGGAAGGAATCGCCCTGCTAAAGGGACAGGTGATCATTCCGATTCACAACTCTTCCGCAACTCTTCCGCAATTTTCGGGAAAATACTATACAACAAAAAACATCAGCAGAACAAAGGGCCCCAAGACGTTCCAGAAATGAAGAAACGTCGAAACACTACAAGCAGTTCCTATAAGAACAATTTGACCTATAGCTCTGCATCCGGAGTGTCCCTTCGCACACGCCCTGCGGTCTGCGACCAAACAGTCATCCAATCATCGCTCCCGCACCCCTTTCACATGCAGCCTGGCCGCCCAGAAAGATGCACTTCTGGGCATGGTGATGACGGTGGGGACGATGGTGATGATGATGCTAGTGATTGTGACGACTACACCGATGATGATGATGGTCATGATGTTCATGATGGTGAGCAAGGTGATGCTGGTGATTGCGATGGCGATGACGATGATGATTGTAATGATGAGGATGGTAACGATGGTGATGAACATGATGCTGGTGACGATGCTGATCATGATGATGACAATGCTGGTGTCCATGGTGCTGATGATGATGATTATATTGCGGGAACGATCCTGAAGTTGCAAAACGCAATGAAAATCCAGCGACAACTCATCCACCAGTCACATTTACAGTGCGGAAACCATCCAGGAGTTGCAAAACGCCATGGAATTCCATCAGCAAAAACAGATGAAAACTTTAGTTACAACGGAGGGACGATTCGAGCATGATCCGAGCATGAAGTGAGACCGTCCGGAAACCGTCGTTCCGCACAGCTTGACTTTCCAGGTTCGGAGCCTCCGGAGCCACACTTTGTATGACAACATTTCGTGCATCCGCTATCTCTCAAATATGCATTTTGTACAAGACTTCCTTCCAAATTTTCAAAAATGCATGTTGAATACCTGCAAAACGAAGCAATTCTGCGAGACTTCCTCAAAAAATTTACC